TTTGGGAACCTCTGGGGACCGTCGTGGGCCGTCGGGGGGCTCTCATGGGCCGTGTTTTTTTTGACCACGACTCGTCCCGAACAGGATGCAGCCTTCCCCAGGCGCAGCCTTCCCCGAATCCGCATGAAAAGCTCTGGTCCCCTTTTCCATCATCCTTTTTCCCTCCTCCTTCTCCTCCTCCACCATTACCTCCTCCTCCACACACCCTGTCCTCCCCAGCCTCCTCCTCTAACTCCTACCTGGCCGTCGAGCAACAGGTGTCGGCAACGACAAAAAATGCTAAACCTGCCCAGAGTTGCGCGTGCCCTCGACCGTCGAGGACCCAGGAGGGGATATGTTTGGACGTTTTCGGATCGAACCTTTTCCCCCTCCCCAACCCCCTTCCCCCTCCAAGCGGCGAGCCCAAGGCGGCACAAAAGCATGTTCTGGCAACGGGCGAGCGCCGACAAAGGCAAGCAGGGTTCCGTGCCAGCGAGTGCCTACCCGCCTGCGCCCAGAACTCCTGATCGTTCCTTGTCGCGCCTCCTACCTGGCCGTCGAGTAACAGGCGTCGGCAACGACAAACAAATGCTAAACCTGCCCAGAGTTGCGCGTGCCCTCGACCGTCGAGGACACAGGAGGGGATATGTTTGGACGTTTTCGGATCGAACCTTTTCCCCCTCCCCAACCCCTGGGGGGCATCGACCCGTTTCAGGTTCCAGAATCACCCTGGAACGGTTCCGGGGTGAAAATTGACACCTGAAACGGGTGATTTTCCATCTGGGCGCTCTCGGGAGCCTTGCGGGCGCATCTTGGGGAAGGGGGCTGGTGCACCCGAGCTCCCAAAATGGCAATTTTCCAAATGAAATCTCTTATTGGGGAGCTTGTTTTTCGCGGCTGGGCCCTCCCGCGCAGCGTCGGGGGGTCCCAAATGGATTTTCACCCCGGAACCGTTCCAGGGTGAAAAATCCATCTGGAACCCTCTCCCGACGCAAAACAGCTCTGTCGGGGATGAGGGGGGGGTGCCCGAGCTCCCAAAATGGCAATTTTCCAAATGAAATCTCTTATTGGGGAGCTCGTTTGTCGCGGCTGGGCCCTCCCGCGCAGCGTCGGGAGTCCCAGATGGATTTTCACCCCGGAACCGTTCCAGGGTGAAAATCCATCTGGGACCCTCTCCCGACGCAAAACGGCCCTGTCGGGGATGGGGGGGGGGCGTACCCGAGCTCCCAAAATTGCCATTTTCCAAATGAAATCTCTTATTGGTGAGCTTGTTTTTCGCGGCTGGGCCCTCCCGCGCAGCGTCGGGAGGTCCCAAATGGATTTTCACCCCGGAACCGTTCCAGGGTGAAAATCCATCAGGAACCCCCTCCCGACGCAAAACGGCTCTGTCGGGGATGGGAGGGGGGGTGCCCGAACTCCCAAAATGGCAATTTTCCAAATGAAATCTCTTATTGGGGAGCTCGTTTTTCGCGGCTGGGCCCTGCCGCGCAGCGTCGAGAGGTTCCAGAAGGATTTTCACCCCGGAATCGTTCCAGAATGAAAATCCATCTGGAACCCTCTCCCGACGCAAAACGGCTCTGTCGGGGATGGGGGGGGTGGTGCCCGAGCTCCCAAAATTGCCATTTTCCAAATGGAATCTCTTATCGGGGAGCTTGTTTTTCGCGAATGGGCCCTGCCGCGCAGCGTCGGGAGGTTCCAAACGGATTTTCACCCCGGAACCGTTCCAGGGTGAAAATCCATTTGGAATTCTCTCCCGACGCAAAACGGCTCTGTCGAGGATGGGGGGGGGGGTGCCCGAGCTCCCAAAATGGCAATTTTCCAAATGAAATCTCTTATTGGGGAGCTTGTTTTTCGCGGCTGAGCCCTGCCGCGCAGCGTCGGGAGGTCCCAGAAGGATTTTCACCCCGGAACCGTTCCAGGGTGAAAAATCCATCTGGAACCCTCTCCCGACGCAAAACGGCTCTGTCGGGGATGGGGGAGGAGGGTGTACCCGAGCTCCCAAAATTGCCATTTTCCAAATGAAATCTCTTATTGGGGAGCTTGTTTTTCGCGGCTGGGCCCTGCCGCGCAGCGTCGAGAGGTTCCAAATTGATTTTCACATCGGAACCGCTCCGGGGTGAAAATCCATCTTGAACCCTCTCCCGACGCAAAACGGCTCTGTCGGGGATGGGCGGAGGTGTGCCCGAGCTCCCCAAATGGCAATTTTCCATATGAAATCTCTTATTGGGGACTTTGTTTTTTCCGTGGCTGGGCCCTCCCGCGCAGCGTCGGGAGGGAGGTTCCAGATGGATTGTCACCCCCGAACCGTTCCAGGGTGAAAATCCATCTGGGACCCCCTCCCGACGCAAAACGGCTCTGTCGGGGATGAGGGGGGGGGTGCACTCGAGCTCCCAAAATGGCAATTTTCCAAATGATATCTCTTATTGGAGAGCTTGTTTTTCGCGGCTGGGCCCTGCCGCGCAGCGTCGGGGGGTCACAGAAGGATTTTCACCCCGGAACCGTTCCAATGTGAAATCCATTTGGAACCCTCTCCCGACGCAAAACGGCTCTGTCGGGGACGGGGGGGGTATGCCCGAGCTCCCAAAATGGCCATTTTACAAATGAAATCTCTTATTGGGGCGCTTGTTTTTCGTGGCTGGGCTCTGCCGCGCATCGTCAGGAGGTCCCACATGGATTTTCATCCCGGAACCGTTCCAAAATACAAATTCATCTGGAACCACCTCCCGACGCAAAACGGCTCTGTCGGGGATGGAGGGGGTGTGCCCGAGCTCTCAAAATGGCAATTTTCCAAATGAAATATTTGATCGGGGAGCTTGTTTTTCGCGGCTGGGCCCTCCCGCGCAGCGTCGGGAGTCCCAGATGGATTTTCACCCCGGAACCGTTCCAGGGTGAAAATCCATCTGGAACCCTCTCCCGGCGCAAAACGGCTCTCTTGGTGGCTTCTGTGAGGAGCCCAATCAGGGCTTCTGTAAGGAGGCCAGCGAGGGCTTCTGCAAGGAGCCCAGTGAGGGCTTCTGTAAGGAGCTCAGTGAGGAGCCCAGTGAGGGCTTTCGTAAGGAGCCCAGTGAGGGCTTCTGTAAGGAGCCCACTGAGGGCTTCTGTAGAGAGCCCAATAAGGGCTTCTGTAAGGAGCGCAATGAGGGCCTCTGTAAGGAGCGCAATGAGGGCCTCTGTAAGGAGCTCAATAAGGGCTTCTGTAAGGAGCTTAATAAGGGCTTCTGTAAGGAGCGCAATAAGGGCTTCTGTAAGGAGCACAATAAGGGCTTCTTACAAGAGCCCAGGAAGGAGCTGAGAGAAGCCTTCTGGGAGGAGCTCAAAATGGGCCCAGATGGTTTTCACCCCGGAACGGTTCCAGGGTGATTCTGGAACCTGAAACGGTCAGTGTCAAGCTTCCAGAATCACCCCGGAACGGTTCCAGGTGATTCCGGTACCTGAAACGGTGGATTTTGCCCTTCCCCCTCCAAGCGGCGAGCCCAAGGCGGCACAGAAGCATGTTCTGGCAACGGGCGAGCGCCGACAAAGGCACACCGGCTTCCGTGCCAGCGAGTGCTTACCCGCCTGCGCCCAGAACTCCTGATCGTTCCTTGTCGCGCCTCCTACCTGGCCGTCGAATAACAGGTGTCGGCAACGAGAAAAATGCTAAACCTGCCCAGAGTTGCGCGTGCCCTCGACCGTCGAGGGCCCAGGGAGGGATATGTTTGGACGTTTTCGGATCGAACCTTTTCCCCCTCCCCAACCCCCTTCCCCCTCCAAGCGGCGAGCCCAAGGCGGCACAAAAGCATGTTCTGGCAACGGGCAAGCGCCGACGAAGGCACGCCGGCTTCCGTGCCAGCGAGTGCCTACCCGCCTGCGCCCAGAACTCCTGATCGTTCCTTGTCGCGCCTCCTACCTGGCCGTCGAGTAACAGGCGTCGGCAACGACAAAAAATGCTAAAGCTGCCCAGAGTTGCGCGTGCCCTCGACCGTCGAGGACCCAGGGGGGGATATGTTTGGACGTTTTCGGATCGAACCTTTTCCCCCTCCCCAACCCCCTTCCCCCTCCAAGCGGCGAGCCCAAGGCGACGCAAAAGCATGTTCTGGCAACGGGCGAGCGCCGACAAAGGCACGCAGGGTTCCGTGCCAGCGAGCGCCTACCCGCCTGCGCCCAGAACTCCCGATCGTTCCTTGCCGTCGAGCAACAGATGTCGGCAACGACAAACAAATACTAAACCTGCCCAGAGTTCTGCGCGCCCTCGACCGTCGAGGACCCAGGGGGGGATATGTTTGGACGTTTTCGGATCGAACCTCTCCCCCCTCCCACGCCCCCCCCTTTCCCCTCCAAGCGGCGCGCCCAAGGCGGCGCAAAGGTAGGCGCGCCGGCTTCCGTGCCAGCGAGTGCCTACCCGCCTGCGCCCAGAACTCCTGATCGTTCCTTGTCGTGCCCCCCACCTGGCCGTCGCGCAACTGTATAACAAGTGTCCGCGTCGACAAAAATTGCTAAACCTGCCGCAAGGTGCCCGTGCCCTCGATCACCGAGGACCATGGATGGGATGTGTTTCGACGTCTCGGTTATCTTGGGCCGGTTGAAAACTTGTCCTCTTTGAACTTCAATCGTTCGGTTCGTGTTCCCCCCGTCTCTCTGCCCTCGCGAACCCATTTCCCTGTTGCTGCGCAAAGCCTTTTTGCCCGCGACACTGCGACGCCCAGAAAAGCGGATCCAGCGATTCTAGGAGAGGGTGCTCCCGGGGGCGGGCCCAGCACGGCCACTTTGGTTCGCTGCGCTCGCCAGGGGCCGGCCCAGGGCAAGCACAACCATGGATGCTAACAAAGACGGACCGAACGAGGCCCCTTAAAAATAATGGGTCGAGCGATGCCCTCGTGGCGCACTGCGCAAACAGGACGAAATCCAGCACGCGGCGGCGCGAAGACGGGGGCATGGCGAGGGGGCGGGCGTCTCCAAGACGGCAGGCAAGCTGCCGGAAGCGATCGGGCGCGAAGGCGCGCACACCCAGACATCCAAAGGGGCGCCTTGCGTGCTCGACGCTACCTTTTTTTGTTCCAAAGGTCTGGCTGGCGCGGGACCTCACGCGTTGAACATGTGCCGTGCCCCTCGTCCCCGGTCACCGTCTCGAGGCGATGGATCTTCCTCTCTAACGACTCATACTCTTCCCTCAGACTATCAGGTATGTCCAGTTGACGCTTTAACGACTCAATTGACGACTCAAACTCTGCCCTCATACCCGCCCCTGGCGGTATCTGCAGTTGACGCGCTATTTGCTGGAAGCGCAGCCTGGCCGAATTCAGCATCTTCTCCCGAAACCACTTCGCCCACTCCTTAGCTTCGGCCAGTTCCGCCGTGAGGAGACACTCCTTCTCCTCCCACTTCTTCATGATGTGGAGATACTCCTCCGGACGCGGTTCTTGCAATTTACTTCGGCTCGCATTCGGGTCTTCGCCCGAGTCGACTTCGCCCGCTCCAACAAATTGGCCAGGTCTTCGCGCATCTCCGCTGCGTCCCGCTGCGACTCCGCGTGCCGCATGCTCAGCCGCCTTGAGGCGGCCTTAAAGTCGCCCCGCACCTCCTCGCGGAAGGCAGAGGTGAGCATGCAGCCTCCGAACTTGCAGTGCAGCTGCAGCGGGGCTCCGTCCACCGCGCGCTCCACGTCCAGCGCGGCGAACGGAGGTAGAAGCCACTCGCGCTCCCCGGGATACGCGCTCAGCTCCATCATCGGGAAGGCGTGGGCGACGCCGGATATGGTGAAGAGCACGTTGTTTTTCCTGGGCGCCTACTGGTTGCAGTGCGCCTCGGAGATCGAGGCGTCGACCGTCGTGCTGGAGGGCGCCGCCCAGAAGAAACGGTCGCCAGCGGCCTTGGCTCTGAAGCCATCGACTAAGGAGCTGGGCAGGCCGCACAGGCCGCGCGTTACAACCATGGGCTTCTCGAGCGTCTTCGCCGAGAGCCCCAAGAAACACGCCCGCCGGATCCATGCTCTCAGGCCGCCCAGGGCGCCCTGCCGGACGCCAGCGTTGTCGAAGCAGACGCGGGAGGCCCAGTTCGCCACCTGGAACATTTGTGGATTTCGCTTTCCGCCTACTTTCTGCCTTTACTCGCTGTAGAACTCGTCGCGCAGGGCGGGCTCTTCCAGGCCCCCCGGCAGTTCTTGGGCGTCTTCAAAGCAAAACAACCTGTCGATGTCGACGTCCTGCATGGCATACAGAACCCAAGTGGCGATGGCCAGCAATTCGTCCTGCAAGTCCTCATTCAGTGGCCTCGCAGAGTATTTGTCGCGCAGCCGCTTGCACGCCACTGCGAGGAGCTGGATCTGCAACGGCGTCGCGTCGCCCGCAGGCCCAGTCTCCTTCAGTTTGTCGAGTAGCTCGTCCAGGGTCGTGCCGGGCTTCTGCGCGTATAGCTGCTCAACAAGGGCCATGAACCATGTGACCTGCGTCTCTTGGATCTCCGCCGATATCCGCGCGGCTCGGAACTTGGCGGTCAGCCCGGCGCCCGCGATCTTGCCCACAGCGTCCAGAATCCACGCATTCTGGGTCTCGATCGCCGTGACCTGCGCCATCAGCCTCTTCAGCTCATCCAGCGCGAAATCGTCTGACTGCTGCGCGCGCTCTCTGGCCTCCGCTCTTTTCCCTTCTGCCAACGCCCTCGCCTCTTCGATCTCCGACTCGAAGTCCTTGCGCAGCATCTCCAAGCGCTTCCTCGCCTGCTTCTGTCGCTCCGCCGCCGCGGTGGCCCTGGCCTGCTGCTCCAGCCTCTCCTCTGCGGCCTTCGTCGCCCTCTTCTGGCGCTCGGCTTCCGCTTTCGTCAGATCTTCTCGGATTGAGGCCTCGTCTTTGAGAACATAAACACTGTACCTAAGGCCTGATTTCTTGCACTTCTGCAACTCATGCCAGCACGTGACGCTGTCAGTGATAGGCATGCCGTTGACCATGCTGATGCTCCAGCCTGGCCGCACGCCCAAGAATCGGGCCTGGCACGACACGCGCTCCACAATGGTAGTTCCCTGGGTCCAAACGAGACCGTGCGCGCCCATGGCGAACTCGAATTTACCGATGCCTGGCTGCAACGGCATGTCCAATAGTTCACCTGGCATACCCGCTGATATAGGACTCTGAACCATGCGCTGTCGTGTCCGTGCGCTGCTCGCGCTTGAGCCGAAATTGCTTGAGCCAAAATCGCTACGGAGGGCTCTCATGGGCCGTGTTGGAGCTCTCTGGGGCCGTCTTGGGGCCCTCTTGGGGTCCTCTTGGATCGTCTTACGGCCGTCTTTGGGGCCTTTGGGTCCGTCTTGGGCGCTGTTGGGACCGAAGAAGCGAATATGCTAAAAACGTACGCTTTCCGAAAGGAGTTTGGTTGTTTTTGCCTTTTGGTGACCTTCTGGGAAGCCTCTTGGGCCGTCATGAGGGTCTCTGAGGCCAAAAATATAGACTTCCCGCTGGTTTGTGCAAGATTCGAATTTCTCGAGGACCTTTTCGGAAGCTTCTCGGGCACCCTTGGTGGCCTCCTGGGCTGTCTTGGAGCGCTCTTGGGGTCCTTTTGGTGCGTCTTGGAGAGCTCTTGGGCCATCTGTAAACAATCTTGGGCGGATTTAGGGCTGCTCTGAGCCTCGGGGGCGGGTCCCGGAGGGCTCCTGGGAGGGGGGCGCTACCTATGTACAAGGGGGGGGGCCCTGCGGGTTCCCGGGGTCGGAATCCCCCATATATGTATATACATGCATACACACCTACATACATACATGCATATATGCATTCATACACACATATATACATACACACTCACGTTCAAACATACATACATCCATCCATCCATACATACATACACTCATAAACTTACATGCGTACATACAGTCATACATCCATACAGTCATGCATGCATGCATGCATACCGACATACATACATACATACATACATACATACATACATACATACATACATAAATACATACATACATACACACATACATATATACATGCATGCATGCATGCATACATACATACATGCATACACACATACATACAGTCAGCCACATACATGCACATACATACATACATACATACGTACATACATACATACATACATACATACATACATGCATAATCATACATGTATGCATGCACACATGCGTGCATCCATGCATACATGCATACACACATATGCATACATACGTATATATATATATATATATATATGCATACATACATACACACAATCAGACAGACCGACATACATACATACATATATGCGCACACATCTACATACATATGTATTTGTGCATGTTCGGGGTCTGCGCGGATTTCTCGAAGGGCGCTGGACCCCGCTCTCCCGGCGCGCGGAGCGCACCAGGCGGCGGCGGATGCGCCGCCGGCGCCGCCAGGGCGGGCACAGCGGCGACCCGAGGAGTCCGCGCTGAGCTCCGACAGTTTCCGTTTGCCGTTCATGCTGCCCCTCGACTCCGAGAGGGCAGGGGCTCCGCAGAAGGGCCGGGGCCGCCGAGACCTCCCACGACACGCCTCGACAGCACTGATCTGTGTCAGGAGCTGGCTGCGTGAACTGCCAATGCATCTGCGCGTCGGGGCTTGATGCATTGAGCGCGATGTGCTTGATGCCCCCCCCGCTTATTCGATGCTGGGCAGCGTAAGATCTGCCCAACCACCCGCCCCCAGAACGCGCCTCAAGCTGAATCGGCATGCAGGAGGGCAAAGGGGGGGGGGGGGGCGACACCGACAGGGGAGGGGGCTCCAACAACGTTTGCGGTCTGTTGTGCGAGGCGGGGATTGATCCGTCACCACCGCCTGTTCTGCGAGACCTTGGCGAGCGGTGGATGTGGACATGCTTGTCCCTGGTCCAGGCACCAATCTATTCTTAGGTCGGGCCTGTCCCCTACAGGGGGATGTTGGACGAAACATGAGTTTTTTACCTAACAGCGAAGACTGATAGGTTTCTAGTAGTGTCAAAAGAGCTCACAGATCACTCCACAGGGGGGTCCGGGCAGGTGTTGGGAGTTGCCGGGCGGGCCTGTGCCGAACTCGTTTTTCACCAACGGTCACACACTTCGTGCTCTTCGACTTCCCAGAACTCCATTCCCAGGCTCATTCTGAATAACCGGATGCAACAGTCACACACTTCGTGCTCTTCGAGATCCCATAACGCCATTCCCGGGCCACATTCTGGAGGGCCGGATGCAACAGTCACACACTTCGTGCTCTTCGAGTTCCCAGAACGCCATTCCCGGGCCACATTTTGGATGCCCGGAGCCAACTGTAGGCCACTTCGTGCTCTTCGAGTTCCCAGAACTCCATTCCCGGGCCACATTTTGAATGCCCGGAGCCAACTGTAGGCCACTTCGTGCTCTTCGATTTCCCAGAACTCCATTCCCGGGCCACATTTTGAATGCCCGGAGCCAACTGTAGGCCACTTCGTGCTCTTCGAGTTCCCAGAACTCCATTCCCGGGCCACATTTTGAATGCCCGGAGCCAACTGTAGGCCACTTCGTGCTCTTCGAGTTCCCAGAACTCCATTCCCGGGCCACATTTTGAATGCCCGTAGCCAACTGCAGGCAACTTCGTGGTCTTCGACTTCCCAGAACTCCCATTCCTGGGCCACATTTTCAGCAGGGGCAAGAGCACGACGAGGAGGAGGACGAGCAAGACCAGGAGGACGAGGACGAGCAGGAGCAGGACGAGGAGCAGGAGGAGCAGGAGAAGAAGGACGAGCAGGAGGAGGAGGAGGACGAGCAGGAGGAGGAGGACGACCAGGAGGAGGAGGACGACCAGGAAGAGGAGGAGGAGGAGGAGGAGGAGGGAGGGGAGGAGTAGTAACAAGGAGGAGCAGGAGGAGGAGGTAGGAGGAGGAGAGGAGGAGGAGGAAGAGGAGGAGGAGGAGGAGGGCAGGACGAGGACGAGGAGGAGGAGGAGGAGGCGGAGGGGGAGAGTACCAGGAGTAGGAGAACGAGGACCCCAGGAGGGGGGGTGAGGAGGAGGAGGAGGAGGAGGGAGGAGGAGGAGGAGGAGGAGGGGGGGGAGGAGAGGAGGAGGAGAGACACAAGGAGGAGGAGGACGAGCAAGACGGAGGAGGACGAGAACCAGGACGACCAGGGAAGAGGAGGAGTAGGAGGAGGGGAGGGGGAGGACTACCAGGAGGAGGAGGAGGAGGGAGGAGGAGGAGGAGGAGGAGGAGGAGGAGGAAGAGGAGGAAGAGGACGAGGAGGAGGAGGAGGAGGACGACGAGGAGGAGGAGGGGGGGGGAGAGCACCAGGAGGAGGAGAACGAGGACCACCAGGAGGAGGAGGAGGAGGAGGAGGAGGAGGAGAGAGCACCAGGAGGAGGAGGACGAGCAAGACGAGGAGGACGAGAACGAGGACGAGCAGGAGGAAGAGGAG